CTGATATGCTAATCGAATACGCAGGGTTACTTCACAATATTTTGATGATACGCACATATTTTATTTTTCTAGCGTATCTGTAATGTTCGTTGCGTATTTGATACGCTTGGATTATATTTTACTGCGTATTTCTGCATTTCTGATGCGTATTTCATGCAGATACGCAGCTTATCTGGAGCTCTGTTCTTACCATGTTTACAGTTGATTTTTATGGTGAAGTGAATATTACAAGTTCCGTGTATATCACTGATTCAGTTGCATTTTTCTAAAATAAATGTTGACCATTTTTAGTCTATGAAATTATTTATTTTAAAATAGTGATTGACAGCATGAACATCGATCCACACAATTAGGGTCGATGACATGCATGAACAAAGTCAGCGAGCCTGACCACCAGATTCTTTATTTTACGACAAGCATAGTCGCCTTTTACGGCAAGTATGGGTTGCTGAAGACCTATTCTACCCCGGAATCTTCACGGGTCCCAAAGTACAATAAAAAATAATTATGATTCAGTGTAAACAGCACCAGTCATCCTTCTTTAGCCAGTGTATTTTTCTATCTGTCTTAGACCATATATTTTTCATCTTTCTCAGCAGTGCATTCAAAAATAACAGTGTATATTCTGATTTAATTTAATAGTTTGCTTGTGTGAGGACACGTTATTCAACGTAAATCTATGACAAACTCTCATTCAAAAGATGGCTCATTTATGAGAAAATATTTGTGATAAGATAACGATAAGAGATAGGGAGATGGTGATCATAGTGATGTCGCTTCTGAAACGGCAGATGAGGTCCAGCGTATTTAAGAAATAAACGACGAGTGTTTATTATATGATAAACAATGACCACAAGTCGTTTATTTCGGATATATATGAGATATCAACAACTTGTAGGGCCTTTTTAAGGATGTCAAGAAAATGTACAAACTTTAAAAACATTTACCCTTATCTAAATAATGATGACTCCCTGTACGTGTTATGTCTGGTAGCAATGATCGCGATCCTGGTGATTGAGGTGGCCATCCCCACACCTGACAACCTGATATCCCTCGCAGGTCTCGCTGCTTTCATCATTTACCCTTATCTAAATAATGATGACTCCCTTAATACTATCCGACCTCGGCAATGTCAGACAAGTCCATTTTATGTATGGGGTGGTTACATTTGGTATTTGCCGGATATTCTCTCAATTTTTTCACCCAATGCCGATTGTCCTCTCTCCCACATTTTAAGGTATATATACCGGTAGTACACAGTTGAATCAAGGCTGTCCAATCACAGTCAGCTGATACTGTGTACTATATACATAAGTATTTAGAAAAGTCTGGTCACATGATATGCAAATTAGCCTGTGGCAGTGGTGTTATGCTGAATCACCACTGTGCCGAAGGGTGGCAGGTGTCTTCCCAATCAGGAAGTACAATGCAAACTGGTTATGAAATACAAGCACCCTCCCACCCCAGTGCTCCGAGATCAAGTAGGGCAGTATGATTATAAGTTTCAAGGATGAAAAGGAAGGGTTATACAAGTATTTAAAGGTTTATGGTCTCTTAGACATGTCAGATTAAAATACCACTAAAAAGTCCTCAAGGACTACAAATTCCTGTTAATTTCTAACACTGGAGTAGGATCATTTGATGACAAATTTTGTATTTTTTAAAATGTCAGCTTTTTTCATGCTTTTTAGAATATGTTTTGGGAAAACTTTATCTTGTTTCTGATATACATGCCAGGCATTTATCTGGACCCGCTCAGAGGCCGGTAATTTGGCCCCAAGCCTGCAGAAAATGTCATTAAAACTTCCCAATTTGGAAATAAAAAATTTCAAATTCATGGTATTAATGTATATTTATCAAATTTTATGGCTTTGTAGCAATTGCCTGTATTTCACTTATAACAGCACCAGTAAATAGATAGAGGTTTAATTCTTCATTTTATATTATTGCTTAAAATGCAATCTTCAATACAATGTTAAAATACAAGGGAAATTAAGGAAATAAGAACTTTTGAAAAGTCCCTGTTTTTAACAAAATAATGATTTTGTCCCATTTTACCTGCCACTTACTTTAGAATGCAAGGTAAATTCCTGACTACCGAAATAGTTTAAGGCATTGTTGAAATACACTCTTCAAAAAAAGAAATGCATAGTTAAAAAATAAGGATATTTATTGCACGTGCCATGTGAGGCCGAGCGTTGTCATGTTGGAACAGCTCCCTCTGGCAGTCCAAAGTTGGGAGGAAGTGAAGACGCAGAATTTGGTCTATGTATCGGTTTGCTGTATGTATTGCCCTTGACAACCACTAACTGTGATCTACCCGTGATCTAGACTGGGACTCCCCTGATTCCAAACGTCCAATTGCGATATTTCGGTCAGCTGCAGTTAATCTTGGCATTTTTCGATCTCCGTTCACAACAGAAAATTTGTAATGAACTGATGAATTTTATACGGTCTTTTATAGTCTGTGTCTCTTCTCTTGTTTCCAACACTTTGCACGTGCATTGTGCTGAATTTTTTTTCTGAAAGCAATTTCCGTGCATCCTTTGCATTTTTGCTGATAAACGTTTGATAAAAACATTTAGAGATGTGTTTGCACGCAATGCACAACAAACATGACATGATTAACAGGAATCAAACATAAGAATTGTCTTTATGACGATTGCTGGAAAAAAAATCTAATTCGAATTCTCAAAACACCTATACGTTTCTTTTTTAGAAGAGTTGTATGACGACATGTAGATAAGCATGTTTGCTGTGAGGGCGGGAGAGGGAGGCTTGGTCAGATTCTTGAGTGCTTCTTACAGAGCTCCAGATAAGCTTTTGGTGTTGTGGGTATTTTACCCATGCATTTCAAAATCATTGGGTATCAGTAATTCTATCTGCGTATTCAAATTTCTGTTACCCACTAGTTTTTACACATGTGGGTATTTAAGTTAAATATTTAAAAACACTATTCATCTAGTCCCTGCAAACTGGTGTCGTGTGGGTTTGAGAGCTCTATAGGACTCAAAAATACCATGATACTTCCACAATAAAGTGTGAGGGCAAATGATCATGATGTAACTGTCATCGTGGAGTTTGGCAAGGTTGACGGAATGCCCGTTTATAATTTCAAAATAAGTTGCTGATTTGCTAATCGAATACGCAGGGTTACTTAACAATATTTTGATGATACGCACATATTTTATTTTTGTAGCGTATCTGTAATGTTCGTTGCGTATTTGATACGCTTGGATTATATTTTACTGCATATTTCTGCATTTCTGATGCGTATTTCATGCAGATACGCAGCTTATCTGGAGCTCTGTTCTTACCATGTTTACAGTTGATTTTTATGGTGAAGTGAATATTACAAGTTCCTTGTATATCACTGATTCAGTTGCATTTTTCTAAAATAAATGTTGACCATTTTTAGTCTATGAAATTATTTATTTTAAAATAAAACATTAGGCATGGCAGCTTTAACTAGGATTTGTGCGAAAGATGATGCTTCCCTGATACAAGATTGGTCTCAGGTTACCTGGGAAGTGGACTCTGTGGGTTGTGTCAGACACTAGTCCTGTGACCTTGTTTACATGTGTTGTACAGCTTAGTCAACACCGTAGCCTAGACTGAACTGTGGACTGATATTGACTTATAATCGATCGAAGTGGAGATCGCAGGATAATGACTTCAGCTATTGTGCTTGAATCGTTAATAGTTGAATTGTTGAATTGAGATTGAACAGTGTTTTTGCCTACATTTAAAGGTTTGTGATTTTGACTGTCTATGCATGATAAAACATCATCATTTGGTCAAAAAAAAGGAAAAAGAAGTGTCTCATCTTTGTGTGGTTCATTTTAAACCTAGTGGGTCAATGCTTTTTTCCCCCTCTGTTTCCGATTTCAGCCATTCAATTAGCATTGTTTAGAGTTATCTTTCCTTTACTGTGTGACCGCCATGTTTTATATGGTACATTTTTTTTAGGGGGGGGGCTTCAGTCTTCAAGGAGGCACGCTATGGTACACTACATACAAAATAGTTATAGTTTAGTTGTTTCCTAGTTAATAGAATGTACTTTCAACAATTCTGTGTTGGAATACCTACATTATTTAAGTGTCTTTGGTTGTCTTCTTTCATTAGCTTTTGTTGAGGAATCTAAGTCAGTGCAAAATCCGAAGCAGAAAGATTAAGCCGTGAAAAATGGCATTAGTAAGCAGGCTGGATCCCTCAATGGTAACCCACTTACTTCACTTCGAAATTATGTCTGAGGACACATTTTTTAAAAACAATCTTCAGAAACATAGGCAATCCGTTGTCAATGTTTTTTCAAGTATAGAATGTTTTAACATGTATTTAATGCCAGACCATCTCAATATTCATGTACAATGAATGTGTACTTGAATAACAATGAATCATTGTTGCTTTTCGTTTTGTCTTAAGACAATCCAGTGATTGATTTTGTGGGCCAGTGTCCATGCCATCGGGTACAATGACACGCAATCAACCAATTCACCAGCTTGACCACCCAATCCATTTTGTCGTATCCCACGACCAGCTTTGGTTGCTAGGGGCCTATGCTAACTGGGAATTCTCACAGGGGTACATTCATGATCATTGCGAATGAAGAGTAGCTCAACAAAACATATAAGGCCAGACCCAAGTAATTACTTGCTATATAAGACCATCCTTAAATTTGTCACTGCTTGACCTCATCACCTGATGCTGATATCGTGGCAAGGAATTACCCAGTATTTCATTTGCATGGATCGATCTCAGTGGGATAGCATTTAAATTAGTCCGGACTAGTACACACACCACAGGCTCGCTGATTTGGTTGATGCACGGCATCGTATCCAAACTGCGTGGATTGATGCTCATGATATCAGTCACTGGATTATCTGGTCCAGACTCGATTATTTACAGACCGCCACCATATAGCTGGAATATTGCTGAGTGAGGCGTTAAACAACAAACAAACAACAACAACAACAACAACCCAATTTTTATGATTTCAGTGAAGATGAGCAAGTACCCTGCAGAGCCGCCACCTTCTTATGACCAAGCCGATGGCTACGGCTATGACCAAAACCAACCTCCAAGTACAGGTGAGGTTTTTTCTGTATGATATTTTGCAGTGTTTTAGTAATGATAATAACATCATTACATTCCATAGCAATATGAGGTTGTCGTTGTTTCTGTGTTCAGTTTGTTTCACTCTGTTGCTGTTTATATACAAGAATATGGATTGGTTATTCCTGAATGCAGAATACATTCACTCACTCACCCTGTAATGTAAGATATTTAGAACATCATCTGAAGCAGGATCCGTATCTCAACGACTGCACGGTATTACCGATACACTGCAATACACTTTTATACAATATGTATTGCAATATTGTTTTTTGTTCCAGTATATTGTGTAAAAAATACATTTAAATAGTTTTGTTATTACTGTGTCATTTTACCTAGAGTCTACAGAGAATTTCATTCACAAATGATGTTTCACTTTGTAATTGATAGACAAAACGACGGAAGTTATTTTCCCCTAACATTGTTATCTCCCCTGCATCCATGACAAAATGGCAGCGACTGACCATTCTGAGTAATATTTGCTTCAGTGTGTAGAAAATAGGATCTGCATGTACAATCAGTGTCAATCACTGTTGAACACTCAAGCTCCCAATGTCGCAATATGTATCGCAATACAGATACCTGTTTTGCAATATACATTTTTTGCCAATACACAGCCCTAAGGAGATCTTGTGATTCAATTTGATGAGATGAATTCGATATTTTTACTATAATTTTTAGTATTGTTGTTTATGATCCTAAAATATTTTTATTTTTTCTCCCTTTCTGTTGCAGGTATTGGATTTGCCCCAGTTGAGATGGGCCAGGGCCAGTACAACACGGCCTACAGTGAAACGACACCTGCCCCTGCATCGTACCGACCCCCACCCCAGCAAGCCTTAGGGACATTTCCCCCACCTCGGGTGGAGCCTAAACCAGAAGATAATGACGCATTCAATGGAATAGTCACGACAGGCTTCTCAGACAAAGCCATCCGACGATCTTTTATCAGGAAGGTATGTTTCAGCAAGAGGATGTTTGGCTGTCTCAGACGAATTCCGCATTAAAATTATCAAAATTCTGCGGTAAGAACAAAACCATTTCCCTCTCAAAAATTAGTCAAACTCATTTTTTTTCTTTAAGATTTTTAATCTTTTGCATTTGGACATTTCCAGTTTTGTTTGAGGTATATATAACTTTATGTGGTCATTACATCACAAGAATGTTTATTAGAGAGAATTAGTTATTTCAAATTTAGTTTTATTGTATTGTTTGGACTTTGTTATTTTTATATGTTGAATGTTTGGGTGTCATTTGAGGGCAAAATTAAAATAATTCCAAAAAGAATTGTAAATAATGAAAATAAATTTGTTGATATCCAGATATCCTTGGTAACAGGTATTGGACTGTCTTCTCACACATGTTTCTGGAATGTTTGATTGTTGTTTAACGCCGCACTCAGCAATAATTGAGCTATGGAAAGCGGTCTGTAAATAATCGAGTCTGGACCAGACAATCCAGTGACTGGCATCATGAGCATTGATCCACACAATGGGGATACGATGACATGCATCAACCAAGTCAGCGAGCCTGACCGCTTGATCCTGATAGTTGCCTCTTAGTAGCCTGTTTCTGGAATAACAGATGTGATGGTGTATGTTTCAGGTGTAGTCGCCTGTTTCTGGAATGACAGATGTGATGGTGTATGTTTCAGGTGTAGTCGCCTGTTTCTGGAATGACAGATGTGATGGTGTATGTTTCAGGTGTAGTAGCCTGTTTCTGGAATGACAGATGTGATGGTGTATGTTTCAGGTGTAGTCGCCTGTTTCTGGAATGACAGATGTGATGGTGTATGTTTCAGGTGTAGTAGCCTGTTTCTGGAATGACAGATGTGATGGTGTATGTTTCAGGTGTAGTCGCCTGTTTCTGGAATGACAGATGTGATGGTGTATGTTTCAGGTGTATCTTATCCTGATGAGTCAGTTGCTGATCACCGTCGGCTTCATTTGTCTCTTTATATATGTGTGAGTATCTCATGTTATTTAATCATTAAGGGGGCACAGGTGGCACAACCAGCACAGTCTACACAGTCTAAGTGGCCACAACTCACTGTGCCGAGTTGCATTCCTTGGGCACACCAGGAAACTATGATTGTAGGTTCGATTCCCAGTTTTCCTTGATTATGTGTCTAGGTTTGTCAGCACCATATCCGTGCTCGTGGGTTTCACCAAGGTGGTAAACGTCTGAGGCCTGCATCACTTTGGGCTTTCCTCCCACATCTAGCTGATATGCCCTAATATGACTGGAATACTGTTCAAAGCAATGTTAAATTCAACTCACTCACTCTCAGTTTAATCGGTTAGTTTCACTATAGTGAGTGAGTTGGGTTTTATGCTACTTGAATTGTATTTTAGGTACACCATGGCATGTAAGCTTGATGTGGGTGAAACGCCAGAAGTGATGTAGGTCTTAGACATTTGCAACTTTGGTGAAACGCATGGACAGGGGTACTTCCCTCTTAAAATTTACGACATCATCAAGTAGAGAGCGCATGTTCGAATCTCCAGATATGACGTCCTATAGAACAATGTTTTATCTTGAAATAACCACGCTTTATTCTTCATTGTTCTTTGAGAGTTATCATGTAGCTACAGTGGTCCCTTGCTACAACACTACCAATGGGGTCCAAATAATTGGTGGGCGTTATAGACGATGAGCTGTTTAACCGAGGCCGAGGTGGGGGAGCGCGCTCGGCCAATCTCACAATCTTCGCCTTGTCTCGCACATTGCAATGATACAAGTTGTTTACCGTTCATAGTGTAAAAATATATCTCCATTATGATTTCGCCATTTGTTATTATTTACAAGCCTTAACTGTCACATTCAATGTGAATGTAGTCTACTTACATGAAAATATCGATCGATAATGGTAGTAACAGACGCTATGAGTGAAGAGCCAATCACAATTCATTACACAAGTACAGAGTGATTCAGTGGCATTGATTGGTCATGTTGCTTAAAATACGGAAAACGAGAGTTTTGACCAGCACTATGCCCATTCATACACATTCATGCAAATATAGATACACATTCAAGCCAGATTAATTGGTTTGATACAGTTACTTGATCCGAATCAAAAGGAAGCACCGCCGTGTTGTGACAGCAACTACATGTGAGTTGACAGTGTCGCCTCAAATTGGATTGCCCACTAATTAAGAATATAAACTTCGCTTGTAGTTCTCTTTTATTGCATGCATGCGCTTCTAAGATCAAAGGATGTATAGTGTGAAAAGTTAACTAGTAGAACAATCGTATTTCCGGGACATGCTGCGGATGTTTTCAAACAGATTGTTAGAACTCCATTCAGCGATAAACGGTTGATTATGCAATGAGAAACGTTATGTGCAAATGAACAACGAACAACAATACAATCATGTCTGTGTAAAACTCTCAGTATTAAAAGTGTTCATAAATTTTGGGAGCCATGCGATACCGCGCGTAGTAACCGAGGTAGCGCTTTATCGAAGAGCCCAATAGCGAGGGATCACTCTTTCTTAATAATTCTTATATACACCGATATGTGGTCCGACTCCAAGTAATGATCAAAGATTGTGTATGTAGGAGTTCTGAAATGAAGAATGTAATTGCATTTGTTATGGGGTATGATGCTAAAATCATGTTGCTAAAAGAAACCTAGAAACAGAATTATGATCTGGGATTTGAACCCAACATCATTGGTCTTTGGAGTGCCTAAGGGACACAACTCTGCGTAGTAGTAGTAGAGTGAGACCCTGGTTCTCAGTAACACGGCTTGAAAACACTTCTTTCTGCTTACCCCAAACCTCTTTGTTATTGGTTGACACAGGCATGTGAGGTGGGCCTCAGAGGATCAGAATGGGAGCAGTAGACGTATTTATCGTTCTGTTTTGTTTACTGGACAACCGATCATTTAGGAAAGCAGCCTTGTCCAATCTTTGCCATGTTTGCAAATGACCCTTTCAGTGCCTTACCTGACTAAAACGTGAAAGAATATTGTTTTCTGCAGTGCACTTGGTACATGTTTCTCCAGTTTACTCAAAGACTAAAGTATATTTGAGAAATAAAGGACAAGTGGGACTTATTTTTTTCTCCCTGCAGTGTTTTATTGTATGATAAATAACGACCATGTGTCGTTCATTTCTTATATGAGATTTTAATGTTATGTACTGCCTCTTTAAGGATGTTGATAAAAGCGTTTGCTCGTCAGGCCGAAGACCCGGGTTTGAATCCCGACATGGGTTAAATGTGTGAAGCCCATTTCTAGTGTCCCCTGCTGTGATATTGCTGGAATATTGCTAAAAGCAGCGTAAAAGCAAACTCACTCACTCACTCACTAGACACTTCCCTCTCAAAAATAACATCTTCCAATTTACATCATCAAGTAGAGAGCACATGTTCGAATCTCCAGATATGACATCATATAGGACAATGTTTTATCTTGAATTAACCGCACTTTATTTTCCATTGTTCTTTGCAAGTAATAGTTATCATGTAGCTATCTCATAGACACAGATATGTGGTCCAAGTAATGATGAAGGATTGTGTATGTAGTAGTTCTTAAATGAAGTATATAATAGCCTTTGTAAGGACTTGACCGGTTTTATGTTCCATCTTTCAGGAATCCGATCAGGAACTGGGTGCAGACTGATGGCTTCTGGTTCTACTATGTGTCCTAGTAAGTCACTTTCTCCTTTGTGGTACACAATCAGAACTCCAGATAAGATTTTGGTGTTGTGGGTATTTTACCCATGCATTTTAAAATCCTTGGGTATCAGTAATTCAGTTATTCTATCTGGGTATTCAAATTTCTGTTACCCACTAGCTTTTACACATGTGGGTATTTAAGTTCAATATTTAAAAACACTATTCATCTAGTCCCTGCAAACTGGTGCTGTGTGGGTTCGAGAGCTTTGTAGGACTCAAAAATACCACGATACTTCCACAAGAAAGTGTGATGGCAAATGATCATGATGTAACTGTCATCGTGGAGTTTGGCAAGGTTGACGGAATGCACGTTTATAATTTCAAAATAAGTCCGTCCGGAGAGCGAAAGGTCTGGGGTTCGATCCCCGGCCGCGTCATACCAAAAGATGTTAAAAGATGGTACTTGGTGTTACCCTGTCTGGCGCTCGGGGCTAAAACAAGGACTGGTCGGCTCGGAGTCAGTATACTGTGTCTGAGTGGGGTATTCATGTTAAACTGTAGCATGGTATTTCAGTGAGCTAGCACTATAAATCGGCATCAGTCCGGACTAGTACAAGCAGCCACACACACACACACACATACATGCACGTCGCTATATAAGTGCAATAATCTTGGCCGCGATGTTAAACCCCATTTCACCTTACCTCACCTGACAAATAATTTTCTGTTTTAGAAGTAATTTAATTTTTTGAACTTTGTTTTCCATCATTATTATGATGCCATGTTCACACTCCTTCAGCTAGAACTCTCTCTGCGTGTTCCTATCATTCAACTGACATTGTTTCCCTGTTTGCAGTGGCACATTCCTGGTGACATACTTTGTGCTGATTTGCATTCCGTCTGTTAGGTAAGTTTTTTTTATAGATATTTATCCTATTCCTATGGGCCTTTGTTTGATAGGCATTATTTAGAAGTTGACGGATGACAAAGTAGAGATAATTCATGGATAACAACTTCTTTATTTACAGTAAAGGCGTCGTTTAGATCCTTATACTGTTGCCAAGGAAGGCATAAGGATCTATACCGAAACGTCACCTTTACTGTAAATAAAGAAGTTGTTATCCATGAATTATCACTACTTTGTTGTTTAATGCCGCACTCAGCCATCAGTATTTCAGCTCTATGATACCAGTCTGTAAATAATTGAAATAATGGACCAGACAGTCCAGTGATTGACATCTTGAGCATTGATCTACGCAATTGGAATATGATGACATTCATGAACCAAGTCAAGGCGCCTGACTGCCGAATCCTGTAAGTCGCCTTTTACGACAAGTAGAATCGCCTCTTTTGGCAAGCAAGGGTTGCTGAAGATCTATTCTCTACCCAGATCTTCACGGGTACAGATTATTTAAGAATTGACTTCTATTTGTTTGCGTTTATGGAGGTTTATACATAGGAGCTCGGTGTTGATTGTAAGAAATGATTGGTAACTGTCTTGAAAAACAACCACTCTTCACCTGTTGTCTCACAATTACATGTTGATATTAATATTGGATTTAGATATTGTCTTGTTTTCATTGTTTGAATTTGAGATAAGATAACAGTTGCGTATTTTATAATCTGGTATTTATGCAGCCATAATCTGGTATTCATACAGTCATGATATGGTATTCCGACAACAATCACTGGTGTAAGTCACACCTGTGAAGACCCGGGGTAGAATACGTCTTCAGTAACTCATGCTTGCTGTAAAAGGCGACTATGCTTGTTGTATGAGGGGACTAACGGGATTGGGTGGTCAGGCTCGCCGACTTGGTTGATGCATGTCATCATGTCCCAATTGCGTGGATCCATGCTCGTGATGTCAATCACTGGATAGTCTGGTCCAGACTGGATTATTTACAGACCACCGTCATATAGCTGGCATATTGCTGAGTTTGGCGTTAAGCAACAAACAAACAAACAACGAGGCTTCTATTCTCATATTCAACAAAATATGAGATTCAAAAAATGTCCTGAGAACAAGACAGTTTAAAGAAATTACAATGTATCTAATAATTGGGTATAATCTCTGATGCACATAATAACTACTTGGGCACATCTTCACACCTTGGGGGTGGACAGATAGCCCATTGGTTAAAGCGTTAGTTCGTCACTCTGAAGACCTGGGTTCGATTTTCGACGTAGATTCAATGTGTGAAGCCCATTTCTGGTGTCTCCCTGCTGTGATATTGCTGGACTGTTGCTAAAAGCAGCGTAAAACCAAACTCACTCACGCACTTCACACCTTGAATGTTTAGGGGGCATATTATTGAATGTCTAAGGCGCCGCAATTTGCTGTGCAGAGTTGTGTCCCTTGGGCATGCCAGTAATCTATGATTGTGGGTTCGAATCCCGGTTCGCCCCAATTATGTTTCTAGGTATCACTGCATCACTTCGGGCTTTCCTCCCACATTAAGCTGACACCCTGTGATATAACTGGAATACTCTTAAAAGCAGCGTTAAACCAAACTCACTCACTCACTCACTTGAATGTTTTATCACTGACTAAAGGTGAGCCTCAGTACCTGTCTATGCTGGTTTTCAGTGCAACATTAATGTTATCTTTTTTTTATAGGCGACAAACTCCTGGAAATTACATCTGCCTCATAGTATTTGTGAGTAGCTTTTGATATTTACCTGTTTTACCTTATCCTGAGTCATACTAATTGCGTATCTCTGAAGGTACTGGAAACTTACTGTCCTGTGTTCCCAGAGTACAGAAAAACATCTCACCAAAATTTCACCCTTCCCACACGCGCCAGAACCATGTCACCAAGCAGTGTGACTCATTTTCTCATTTTCAGCCAACGAGCTAGTTGGGAATTTTCATAAAATTTTTTGGGTATGGATTATCTTCTTTAACTTCCATTTATCACATTCATTGATTATTTTTAGATTTGGCTGTGCTCTTTAATATCCTCTTGTTTTCATGATGAAAACGTGTACTACATGTCATCATCACCCCAAGCCGTTCAAGTACAGCAGTTGACTGGACGACCTGTTTGTATCGAACATTCTCAGGAAGGGTTACTGACCAGCTTACGAGAGGAACCTCCTCTCTCTCTCTCAATCCGCTGATTGTTCAATATCCGGAGACACTGCGATCCAAATTAACAGAAGTCATCAACACACTTCTTTCAAAGGGAGCAGTAGAGATAGTACAACCAGATGTCCGGGGTTTTATTCACTGATTTTCCTAGTCCTCAAAAAGAACTCAAACAAAAAGTTTTGTTTAATCTACAACATGAAAGAATTCAACAAAAAGTACCTTCAAAAGGGAGGCAGGTTCAGAATGTTCCACCTACCCGACAAAAGAGATGATATAACAGGACAATTAGGCTTAAAAAATTAAAAGAATTGGCTCTAAGGCAATGACTTTTGAAAATATAGTGCGGGCGGGCGGGCGGTGTTTTTTTAATTTTGCTTGTTCAAACGAGTATGTAACCAAATAAACAGTTGTGTACCATCAACCTGGGAAAGGGCCTCCCAATATCACTATAAAATAAGCATACAACTCCTATTGCCACCCTTATGAGAGAAACACATTAAAGCAGTGTGCATGTAAAGGGAATTTAAGTAACAATGTTATATTTGACATAAAGCAATGTGAAGGGTGTGTTTGGGTGAGATGTTTTTCTGTTCTTTTGGAACACAGGAAATTTCCATGAAAAGAAATAAGCAATTATAAATGGGCCTAGTTGCCCGAACACCTATAAAATATTTTACTAATCAATCAATCAATCAATTAGCAATTAGTATGAGCCAGGAAAAGTATATGATATTTTTACCTTAACAAAGTCATGTTTCTTGAGTTCTTGTTAATCACATACTGTGTCAGCCTGCACATATTGCCCTATTAATACTTCCATGTTGTGACTGATTGCAGGTGCGACTTGATTTAAACTTAAAAGTAGCTTAAAATTATATCAACGAATCTGTAAATATGTTTTCACGACAGTCTTTTCTGTTTCAGACATTGGCCTTCTCCTACATGGTGGGGACTATATCATGGTGAGGAGAGCTGTCATCACACTTAGACTTTATTCAACAGGAACAACTGGCGCAGTTTCATTCACTGTGCAGAGTTGCTTCCCTTCATCATACAAGGATCTGCTGATCGTTGGTTCGAAGTCCAGATTCAGGCAGATCATGAACATGACCCACTATCCCCATACGCATGTGTGTTGCCAAAAAGCAAGAAGCAATGACACAATGAGATGCCAACTGATATACCCTGGTTCAGTTGAAAATGGTGTGGAACATCAACTCACTCAGTCATTCATTCAACTTGAGATTTTATTTTTATTATGTCACAATACATGAAACATGGTACATTCCACACGATTTTTCTGAAATAGATATTGAAATCAGATGAATATCCAAATTTCCAATCCCATGCTTCCAATACCGGTAAGAGTACTCCTTCTGATCTGCTTTTCGTACTTTATTTTGATTTGGATATATGGAATACAAAACGAGCTCCCATGTAATATGAAGTTTATGAAGCGAGTGAATAGATCTGGTATCTAACAAGCGAACGCGAGTCAAATACCAGACCTATTCACGGGATTCATAAAATTGGTATTAAACATGTTAAATGGGAGCTCGTTTCATATTTTATTTATAACTTTTTTCTAAATTTCACTGTCATGTGTGAATAGGCAGATATCTACATGATCCACATCATATTGAGTTTAACAGAATAAGGCTAAAAAAAATTTATTCTTGGTTCTCAGGCACCGCCGCATCATCACAAAGGCCGCCGCACGTTTCGTTTTTATTTTCATTTAAAAAAAAGAAATCCTTAAATATTCCGTGTCTTGAACACACGACCCCAACAGTGAAATGCTACAACACTTAAAAACAATGCGATCCAATATAGCTTGCAGTTACTTCCCTTTTCATCTGCGGTAATAGGATTTTGCGTGCTTGTTTTGCTGTTTGCAAATGTGGTCAATGAAAACATGAAATTTGCGATAGAACATCACTAGACATGATGAGTTACAAATTCAATGGGATCCGGTGTTATGTGCTCACAGTAATGTGTTGGTGTTTTGGGAAAAAAAACCTCTTCAACCCTGTGTATAAGATGCCCCCCCTGGTTATGATAAACTCGCCTTATACACGTCGATATATGGATTTGGATTCTTACTACTTTGTACACCACGACCCCCCCCCCCCCCCCCCAAAAAAAAAAAGCCGCCCACCCGCCCAATATTTTCTAAAGCTATTGCCTGAGAACCAACTTATTTTTTTCAGCCTAATACTGCAAACACGTCAAAAGTTGACATGTATTAATTTAATATCATACAACGGCCTACCTTAGAATTCAGGGGTCCATTCCACAAAGTTATCGTAGCACTAAGGTTATCATTATTCCCATTCTTTAACGTAGACTTACGACTGTTGTGCGGGGGAATTTCTTCATGGCCAGGTAATAAAAAATGTGAATGATATTTGTTCCTTTGTTCCAGTTACTATTCCACAAACATTGTACTGATCATGATGGGCATCACGACCCTGGTCTGTCTGTCCATCTCCCTGTTCGCCATACAGACAAAGGTAGGTGCAGTCAAGGAGTGTCCACGAACCCAACATGGCTATCATTCTCGGTATATTTTACTCTTTACAAATGAGACCCGTGAAGATTTGGGGTAGAATAGGTCTTCAGCAACCCATGCTTGCCGTAAAAGGCGACTATGCTTGTCGTAAAAGGCGACTAACGGGATTGGTTGGTCAGGCTCGCTGACTTAGTTGAAGCATGTCATCGATCCCAATTGCGTGGATCGATGCTCATGATATCAATCACTGAATTGTCTGGTCCACACTCGGTTATTTACAGACCGCTGTCATATAGCTGGAATATTGCTGAGTGCGGCATTAAACAACAAACCAACCAACCAACTTTACAAATGAGCTTTTAAGGATTTTCGTCAGCCCAGTGTCATATTCAGCCTCAGTCCAGTGTTACTCCGTCCAGTGTCACTGCGTCCAGCGTCACTGCGCTAGTGTCACTGCGCCCAGTTTCACTGCGCCCGTGTCACTCCACCCAGTGTCACTCCGCCCAGTGTCACTCCACCCAGTGTCAATCCACCCAGTGTCACTGCGTCCAGCGTCACTCCGCCCAGTGTCACTCCGCCCAGTGTCACTCCACCCAGTGTCAATCCACCCAGTGTCACTGCGTCCAGCGTCACTCCGCCCAGTGTCACTCCACCCAGTGTCACCCCACCCAGTGTCACCCCGCCCAGTGTCACTCCGCCCAGTGTCACTCCACCCAGTGTCACTGCGTCCAGCGTCACTCCGCCCAGCGTCACTCCACCAAGCGTCACTCCACCAAGCGTCACTACACCCAGTGTCACTCCACCCAGTGTCACTCCGCCCAGTGTCACTCCACCCAGTGTCACTCCGCCCAGTGTCACTCCACCCAGTGTCACTCCGCCCAGTGTCACTCCACCCAGTGTCACTCCACCCAGTGTCACTCCGCCCAGTGTCACTCCACCCAGTGTCACTCCGCCATCCCCACAGGCTGTTTGGTGTTCCTGATTCAGAGATAGGAACCATTATGATTTTGGTCGAATCATTTTGCAGTTTTGCAGTGTGATTAAATCACAAAATTACAATTAAATTTATAGAAAAACAACAATATTGCATGTAAGTTGAGACCCAAATTATATGTATGTGTACTGTTCAAATGTACCGCTTTACTCAATAATCCAGACATCAGATTGCAAGATGGGTTTGACAGTATGGATAAATGAGACTACAAATTTTGCCATCAATATGGAATGTTGATGAAAACAGAAGCTTGGTATCTCAATGGGATAGCATTTAAATATCTGCTTTATTCCGGACTAGTACACACACCACAGGCTCGCTGACTTGGTTGATGCATGTCATCGTATCCCAATTGCGTGGATTGATGCTCATGATATCAGTCACTGGATTTTCGTCATATAGCTGGACGATTGCTGAGTGCAGCGTTACACAACAAACAAAAAAAGTGCACACACCAACCCAGATAGAAATTTGACTTAATGTAACAGTCAGATCATTTGTTTTTTCGAATTTGTAGGGGGGGGGGGGGGGGGGATTTCTCATGTTTAAAATCCTGGATCCCATTCTGTGTAATGTGACTCGGCTGAGAGAGAGAACCAGTGTTTGTTTTCAATATTAACCATGTTTGTGTGATTCTGTTGTCCAGATTGACTTCACCATGTGCAGTGGCCTCCTGTTTGTTCTGGTGATGGTGCTGTTTTTCTTCGGCTGGTCGTGTCTCTTCACCTTCTACGCCTACGGCTACAACAGGGTATGTTGAAGATCTTTGACCATTGCTACTCCTATTGTGCTACTGCTATTATACCTTGCTTAGCACAGACATACATACGACAGCTGTAATGCTAAAATCGCGTCGTTGAACGAGGCCCCCCTAACCCACACTGGACTCCATTGGCAGGGTAATTGGGAAAGACGGACGAACGGACAGACTGACTGACCCACTAACAAGGCCTTGAATTTTAAGGCCCCTCTTGAATAGCCTTAATTTTTAGTGTTAAACTTTTAAGGCCTTGAAAATCACTAAAATAGCTTGAAAAGCCTTGAATTTGAACAAAACACCTTATACTTGACTACTTGTTTATTTAGATTAAATTTAAAGTTAATTAAAGTATTTTAATTCAGTGGAAAGCCATCTAAAGGCCGTGAATTTTAGTGTTCCAGATCTGCCCGAACATACAAAGTACATATAAGCAAGTAAAGTTGCAATGGGCCAGAAATTTCAAATGTGGATTTTATCCTTTTTGATGAGAAGTGAAGCTTAAAGTTGTTATTCTGGAAAAAGAAATGCAGATATTTTGCCGAGAGCTTGGTCTGTAAGTATCAGTGATACTTACATGAATTTGACCTTGACTTCACTATGACCTCTAATTTGGTGTTTCAGATCTTGGACTGTGTCTATGGAGGTCTCGCTGCCCTTGTCTTTGGTTTGGTGAGTATGGGAGGAATGTTTCCTTTTTTAAGGGGGCGGTAGGGTCAAGGTCAAGGTGACATTAAAACAACACTTTGAGTAGAAATCTTGTTGAACGGAAAGTTTTTTATCATTAATTTCTCACGTTCGCAATAACTTTGTCAGCGTCTTTGAATGAGTGAAGAACATTGACACCTTCGTTACACTCTCGATAACATCACTGCCACCAGTGTGGGCGTGACCACTACAAGAATGTTGAAATTTGCCCTCTAACCCATATGTAGTAACGTTTATGCCTTTGTTTATGTCTTTGGGAATGCCAATACAGTTATTTTTTAAAAGGTTTACGACTGACCATATTTCCCAGATTAATTAAACTTTTTGTTTGTTTGATCGGATTGGTTCAAGATTGCAGACGAAGGGAAAATCAACCAACTTCTGCCTTTCTTTCTTCCTATACCAATTACATGATAGTTGTAATGAAACAGAAATTCATCACTTGTTTGAAAACATAACGGTCAGTCAGTTGCAAGTTCAACTCCAAGCAAGGTTGTAGCCACCTATCACAGTTGGGAGCTTTGACTGGTGGCAGCGATAGCTTCGTGAACGAGATATCGCTATGAGGAAATTGGCAGAGCGCATGTAAAGGGAAGTTACTGCTATATTGGAAGGCATTGTTTTTACGTATGAGGATTTTTAAATTTTTTTTTTAAACCCGAAACGTGCGGTGGACAACTGATCACTTCCTGTTATGTACTGCCGACTGTTTCAGTTCTTGATCTACGACACTCAGATGATCGTTGGCGGCAGGAAGCACCAACTGTCCCCAGAGGAGTACATCTTCGGTGCTCTGCAACTCTACATTGACGTCGTCTACCTCTTCCTCATCCTCCTCTCCCTTTTCGGCAAGAGCAACTAAAACATCTGAAACTACATCAGAAAGACGTGCACATGACATGACTCGCTGACAGAAAGATACAAGTCAATATTTAGTGTCTGACACAACTGACACGATTGTTTGATTTTTTCTGACATACAATCAGAATTTGAAGATAATCCAATGTCCACATTATGACCAAAATTAATGATTTGAGGTCAGTTTAATTGTGAAATTGACATTTATTTCCCTCCAGTTTTCAAGTCAATGATTGCCATGATTATCAATGATATCGCTCAATGATGGTGTTATGATTATTGTTATGTTATGATTACTGATTTATATTGTTGGGAATTCACTCTCTTGGTGTCCATGGTAACACAGATGATTCGAACAATTTGTACATAACTCATCCTTGCTGAAGGATGCCAGCTCGGTACTGATGTTATGAGATCTGTGTACGCAATACCATCACTGACAATTTTTCCCCGGCAGCTACTTCAATGATGTACCACAAGGAGTGTTATGGCTGAATAGGCAACAGCATTCATTGGTCCGTGATTGAAAGAAAATACATAGCAGACTATGTGATGTTTGTAAAGTAATCACTCACTCTAAAATTAACATCAGGAGATCACTTTGTTATCATTTTTATTGCCCCAATGAAACAGCACCTTCCTGAATTATATTAATCTTTGGCAAACAGGTGTTAATTTCAAACATTGCTTGTTTTGTGGGCAGTGTCAGTTTGAGGCTGCGGCATGTTGTGTCCAGGCGTTATTGATATTCCTTCTATAACCATGACATGACCAAGGACAAGATTGTATCATCAAGATTCTGAGACTCTACGTAATTTGTCATGGAGTTGAAATTAGTACAATTTGAAATAAAAAATTCCGTTGCAGTTGGTTCAGTAGGTATTGTATTTTCTTGAGTATAGGGCACACTTTTTCCCCAAGAAACGCAGCTGTGTAGTTGAATGATTGAGGCACGAATTGAGATATAAACTTTGACTCTCTTTTCTTAAACACTTCCTTTGAAGTTAATAATATCGTTTATTTACAAAGTCTGTAATCTTAATGGTTAACTTGACTGTAACCATGGTAACTTTATCCTATGTCAAGGGAAGATAAGTTAATTTTGGTCTTATCTGCAAAGTGCCACTCTTGCCTCAAGCTTCTTAATTCACAGCATGGATATTGTGAGATAAAGGGACAAAATTCTGTAGTTAGGTCAAAGTTGGGACCCAGTCCAAGGTTTGAGATAGTGCTACCCCCGGTATGTATTTTTATCTCAAATTTGGGACATGGGGTCAAATGTGTGTCTGTTCAGGCAGTCGGGACTGGAGAATAGGGTTGAGATATCGGTACAATTTGAGATAACAGATTTTGAGATAACAAGGTTTGACTGTACCCCTAGATCTTATGTTAAGTGATTATATGTTAAGTTTGGTGTTACTGCCAGAAAACACACATGACATGAAATTGATTATCGAGCACATTATGACAATAATAGGTGCTCGTTCCTCACATGAAACTTGATTACTATAGGTCATTATGACAATAGAAGGGTTCTCTTCACATGAAACTTGATTACTTCAGGTCATTATGACAATAGAAGGGTTCTCTTCACATGAAACTTGATTACTACAGGTCATTATGACAATAGAAGGGTTCTCTTCACATGAAACTTGATTACTACAGGTCATTATGACAATAGAAGGGTTCTCTTCACATGAAACTTTATTACTACAGGTCATTATGACAATAGAAGGGTTCTCTTCACATGAAACTTGATTACTATAGGTCATTATGACAATAGAAGGGTTCTCTTCACATGAAACTTGATTACTACAGGTCATTATGACAACAGAAGGATTTTCTTCATCACATGAAACTTGATTACTATAGGTCATTATGACAACAGAAGGATTCTCTTCATCACATCAAACTTGATTACTATAGGTCATTATGACAACAGAAGGATTCTCTTCATCACATGAAACTTGATTACTATAGGTCGTTATGACAACAGAAGGGTTCTCTTCATCACATGAAACTTGATTACTATAGGTCATTATGACAACAGAAGGATTCTCTTCATCACATGAAACTTGATTACTATAGGTCATTATGACAACAGAAGGGTTCTCTTCATCACATGTAACTTTATTACTATAGGTCATTATGACAACAGAAGGGTTCTCTTCATCATATGAAACTTTATTACTATAGGTCATTATGACAACAGAAGGGTTCTCTTCATCATATGAAACTTTATTACTATAGGTCATTATGACAACAGAAGGGTTCTCTTCATCATATGAAACTTTATTACTATAGGTCATTATGACAACAAAAGGATTTTCTGCATCACATGAAACCTGATTACTATAGGTCGTTATGACAACAGAAGGGTTCTCTTCATCACTTGAAACTGACGAGCATGTTTTGACTGAGCTATTGTTGCACTTATTACAGTTAACAACTAAATGATAACTGCTTTGTGACTGGCTGTGTAAGAGAGATTTTCTTCACATCATGGCTGTGATTTTTGCTCAACCATTCTGTGACATTTGGATGTTGGTATATAATTGATGGAAAACATATTATTAGAAATTCAACATGTTTCCTTATTGCTTCCATCACTGGCCAACAATGTATGAAGCTCTTCGTGTTATAATCATTGCCAATACTGAGCTGAAAATATTTTAGATTTTTGAAAGCTTTTATGACATGAGAAATCTTATGAACTTGTTTGTATCTTGTAAATTAGCTTCACTGGTGTTTCAAAGTTTTTTAACTGCGAATGGAAAATGATGCAGAGAAATGTGATATTTGACAAAATCTAGTCTTGAGTATGAAAACCCATTCTCAGAGTGAAAGAATGGCAAAGAAATCTAAAACAGGCCTTGCATGTCAGCTATTTTTCAGCACTCTGTTTACCAGAACATATACCTGAGGCTCTGTTTTCCAAAACGTTTGCTTAAGTCAATGACTTCTGTCTCCTATCTATTTTTGATACACTCCCATGTAGATGTGAGAGAGTTTCTGCATCATCAACCAATGGTTAACTCTACTTCTTTGAAATTCTCTTGTGTCTCTCTTGTGTTTCTTGGTGTTTCTGTACTTGGAAGTTTCTTCACAGCACTGTATTTTACAGTATCACTGGTTTCCGAATGTAAATATGGAAAGATATTTTTGTAATTTTCAAAAAGATTAACCCCAGATAACATTCTTATCTTCTATTCTTCTGAGACTGTATGTTTTGGGGCTAAATGCCCATTTTGAAATATTTTAATGTATTAAATGTTTTATTGTCATTGCATATTGTGTCAATTTGTTGGTCCAACTTAAAAACAAGGAGTGTCAAAATGCTGATGCTCTCAGTATTTGCTTGCATGTGATTTGTCGATGCCTAATTAGGCTGATCCTAACATGAATATGCCAAAGACATTACAGATCAATTTACTATTTTTGGATTTCTATGTACAGTGTACTTTTTGAGTGAAGAATTTTCCTTTTAAGGTGGTTTCATTAAGCTCACCATGGTCTTTTGGCCAATTGCGCCTTTTGAATTGGAATGTTTCAGCTGTTGAAACTGTAAGTACCACAGTCATTGTATGTTTCCATTCCAGAGCTTTGATGGCTTAATATGAAAGTCTGACAATAGCTTCTGATTATTAGTGGTATCGGAGTTCTGCATGGCATCAAAATCCTTAATTGAAGATGGAAGTCAGAAAGCGTATTTCTTTTTTTAACCTTTCAGAACAGAAACTCAAAATGGATGAAACTTCATGTGTCAGATGATCGCCAGACATTCTTAAGTTGAAATGACATGATTGTTGAAAAACCAACGAACCAGTGGCCAGACCAGCGAGCATCTGATAATGTTGATTATGAATAAGAAATTGATGTAATCTGCTAATGTTCCCCACACTAAGGAGATGCACCATGGATCTACCTTTCAAATGACCCATGAAGATCTGAGGTAGAAAAGGTCTTCAGCAACCCTTGCTTGCCGTTAAAGGTGACTATGCTTGTCGCAAGAGGCGACTAACGGGATCGGGTGGTCAGACTCGCCGACTTTGTTCATGCATGTCATTGACCCCAATTGCGTGGATCGATGCTCATGGTGTCAATCACTGGATTGTCTGGTCCAGACTCGATTATTTACAGACTGCCGTCATATAGCTGGAATATTGCTGAATGCGGCGTTAAACAATAAACAAACCTTTCAAATTAACTTTATGTGATGTTTTCTAATGGAGGTTATGACATTAGACACATATGTCAGATTGCTTTTTAAAGTAAGATCATATCCCACATGCCAAATGATCTCCATATGTTATCAACAGTTTAGGCTAAAAAAAATAATAGTCTTGGTTCTCAGGCATCATCATAAAGTTTGCCGCACGTTTCGTTTTTATTTCCATTTTAAAAAAAATCCTACCCCAAATCCTTAAATATTCCAAGTCCAACGGTAGTCAAATACTGTATTCTAGTTTCATACTCATCATGGAATACATTTATGTAGGGAGGCCCTTTTCCAGGTTGATTGTATGCAATAGTTTATTGATTACACAACTGTTTATTGGTTCATACCAGTTTAAACAAAGAAAAATAAAGACACCGCCCATCCGCATTATATTTTCAAAAACCATTGCCTGAGAACCAATTCTTTTATTTTTTTAAGCCTTAATGACCATATTTCAAATTTGTCTAATTACCTCATTAACTTGTCCTGGAGGTTCAGAGTATATATTTGCTTGAGTTTCAAGAAGAAATAGCAATAGTTCATGTTGACGTCATCTGTGGTTCCAACTTGTCGACTGGCTTAACACAATCTGTGTCAGTGTCAGTGTGTTTGTATAACAGCTTCTAATTGATGTGGACTCAGATGATGACATTTCAATGTAGTTGCTTCATCATACATCTGTATAGAGGACATAGGTTCTAGCAAAGTATATATCTGTCTTGTGATTTGATTTTGAGTCAATGTGAAACTGTTAATAACTTCAATGTTTTGTGTCTGAAAAGGATTCAGATATTGGATAATTACAAACCATATTCACCATAATGAGAGTCAAATAAGTGCCCTTTAACCAGTCTGCAAGTAATCTTTATTAGGGCAAGTCCAAATTTGACATGATTCTGTATTTGATACACATGTTGTATTTATACGAGACGGACAGGACCTTATTGATTAGTGTTTAAAACATGCTTTCTGTGACATGAAATACCAACAAGATTGTCAATCACCTTGTCTATTCATCCATTGCGGAAATGTTGGATTCCGTTACATTGTTCTTTATCAAGGTATAATTTGTATGTTTGGCTGGTCAAAGCTACAGGAAGCTTGAGTATTGAAGTACTGAGACAATCAAGATACAGCCAAAAGGGGAGGGTGCATTTAGTGGTCATATGTGTTAGATGAATGCAAATGATTTTAAAATTTGTGTTTGTTAATTTTGTTGGAAATAAGTCAACAAAAGAATTATAGTGTTGTATTACATTTACAGTTGATATCCCTGATTATCTGTAAAACTGTCAAGTGTATAAACGATACCCCTCTGGGTGCGAGTGTGACTGATACTGATACAAAATGTGTTACGGTAATTGAACGCTGATATTTGGTTCTGTCCTGTGCTTGATTTATGGTCTGTGTTATCTTTTCAATCTTCTGTTTATATGTTTGTGAAATTATTGTTAATAAAGATACAGATATGTTCAGTTTTGGAGTTTGCTAATCTTTATTTAGCTCAACTTGTCAGGACAAGAATCCATGAAACTTTGTGTGATATTTACAATTACGACTGTTAAACCTGTGGTGGATTAACATTTGGAGATTAAACTTACATTTTTGACATGATGT